CCATGAGCATCAGGCGGTGAACAACAAGTGAATCCTTTACAATCTCTGCACACTGCTGACGCTTCAGCAATCTCGGACATGCGCAAATTATCATCGTGTGTGTTTGCATCCACAAAGGCGTCCCAAGATAATTTCAAAAACCTGGCTGCTTCACTGCATCTTTCCAGATCTGCGTGGCTGATTAAAAGGCACGTTGCAAGAAGCCAAGCATGATCATCCACCAGGTAACGGAAAGACTGCTTGAAACACACCTTGGACCACGGAGCAAAGCTTACTTCGGTCCCTCAACTGCATGGCTGCTGACAGGCTGGACACCAAGAGCGTTGCATCCAGTCTCTGCTTCGGCACTGGGCGCGCGTTGACCCCTACTCATGCTATCTAACTGGCTTACCATTTTGTTCCAACTGAAATTGGTGCGCAGACCGGTCTTCCTCATCTTGCAAACCATCCAAAATGAGTGGTGCACAAGATCGCAAAGTTTCAGCAACCTTGGTTGCTTGCTGAGGGCCAAAGGGAATTGCAGGCTTGTTGCTTCAAAACGCACGACGCAACATTTTTGGGTGTTGTACAAAATCAGTCCCCTTCGAGCATTTCCGAAACAGCTTCCAGTTCTAGCTTCAACATGAAACATGTGTTCAATTTTCTGGAGCTGCGAAAACAGTCCCTCTGATTTTCAAGAGTTCAATTCCTTGGTTGATAATGGCAAAACAGTCAGCACAGCAGACCAATCGTCATTGCATTCGTTTGCTTGCCAAGTTGCTCAGATGGGTAATCTACGCAACTTTGAAAAATTGGGCTATCGGGTACTCTTTCATAACGCTAGAACTAGAATGCAGTTGAATGATGACCAACATGCAAGTCTACATATTTCAGTCGGAAACTTGGAAGGACGTAGGATAGAAGATGTCGTGCCATGGCGTTCTCTTGATGGCTCGTTTGGCCTTCTTGCTTCCGTACAACACTGCGCACCGCAAGCTGGCAGATCAGTCCGGCAGCAAATGCAGCAGGCATTTGCCAGCCGAATCCTGGTTTGAATCAATGTTGCAGCAACATGGGTTGCAGCATCTGCGGCTTCGACGAAATCAATCAGTTACACGTACTGATTTGAACGAGCAACAGACTGGTCTCATTGTGAAGTTGGTGCCAGGATCTTACATACGAAGGGCCTCTGATAAATTGGGACAGAGAGAGTAAGCTGCTTTGGGAGTATTTCCAATATCCGGCTAATGGGTATACATTGCAGATTGCAGGATGCTGTAAGTTTCTTCAGACAGTCAACGTTGCAACAGCGCAGCAACGTGTCCACAGGTTTGTTTGGTTCCTGATGTTTGTATCAGATTCGAGGGCGTGCAAGTTGTTTGTGTTCCAGAGTGCTTGAACAGACCTTTTGAATTTTCAGAATTGTCACGTGTTTGGGGCATCGAAGATCACGTGTGGGAGGACTTTCTGCACTTGCCGAGCTTCCTCAGCAAGGCATGGTCCAAGGTGATGTTGCGAGCAAGTTGGGCCAATCGAAAAGCAACGGCCTTGAATCATATGACAGAGTCGCTGGGTTTCCCCCCAAACAATTGGGTTGGAGGCTTGAGTAACTCGGGTAGGTGAGGAGGTTCGTCCCCCCCACCTATATCTGCCGGAGGACGAAAACAACCCGTTTCTTTTCGATTTGAAAGTGCACACAAATCCACCAAAAAAAAAAAAAACATCTGCTGGAAGGCATGACAGAACCAGGCAGAATAATAAGCAAATAGAGGAGAGGTCAGGAAAGGACATGGTAACCTAGGACCAGGGTAGCTCAAACTCTCATATGGTCTAGGCGTGTCCAGCAAGCTTTTCTGGAAATGGCACAGGCAGGAAAGGTCGGGCAGCCTCATCTTCTCAGGGATGCATGAGGCACCATTTGCCCCACTCACGCTGCCATCCCCGATCAGGCGTGCTGAGGCTTCCAAGGCTTGAAGGGCTTCGAAGGAGAGGCTGAAAGAGCTTCAAGAGGGACTTCAAGGGCTTTAAAGGCTTTAAGGGGGCTTAAAGGGGCTTGAAGGGGGACTTCAAGGGCTTCAAGGGCTTCAAACAATTCTGGAGTCACTGCTTGCAAAAAAACGATTCTGGAGCACACGTGGGACACAAAAAATTGGAGGTCCAAATGAGACTTTCGCCTCGGCTTCCACGTTACCTTGACGTCCCGCAGCTCCAACCGCCTCTCTGATGTTCTCCTGTGGGTCAGTCGTCTTCTTGACCTGGCGCGGTGCCCGCCTGGAGGACCGCCGCCAGCGCTGGCAACTCCAGCTGCGCGAAGCTTGTGGAGGAATCCAGCTGAACAGGCGCCGCACTGCTAGCCGTATTCTTCAGTGCGGCGCGTGCAACGCTTGAAGGTGCTCTCGGTTACGCTGAGAATTCTGGTAAGACACTGCGTCTCGTCGGCCTTGGATACCTGGTCTTATCTCTCTCAACAGGTCTGGACTCTGTTTCCACACTCTCAGAAAATTATTTTTTCGCTTTGGAACATCGAGGCGCGTGACTCTCGCCTCTGTGTCTTTTTAACAACATGCTATTGGGTAATGGACTTGCCTAAGCAGGCGGAGATATCTTACTGTGGAGCCTCGGCACGAAGCCGCTAAGAAAGGCGGCTCTTATTGCGAAGGTGGATTTTCTGCGTAGAGAGGTCCACTCCACAGACCATCATGAGATGCGGGCACGGGTTCTGCGCTGGTCCCGCGGGTCCCCATTTGCAGGGCGTCGTTTTGGAACCCGAAAAATCACACGAAAACCGAGTTTGCTTCGGACGCTGAGCTTGGCATAGTTAATGACGGAGACCAAGGAGGCTCTGACTTGCTTCTTTTACGCTTACCGGCCATCGGAATCGATGCACCAGCGAAGCCTTCCGAGCAAAAAAGATGTTCTGGAACTGCATTCATTTGAATATCATGCATTTGATGCATCTTTATGAACTTGCATATATGATGGGGAAAAATGCTTATGATTATGGACTGCAGGTAAGAGTGTCATGTTCGCAGCTGTGTGCACACCTTCTGTGAAACTGCACGTGCGATCCGACTATTCTATAAGTCCGACTTGGCATGAGTGATATCACAATGCATTCTCAAAAGTTTTGTGGAAACCAACAGACGGAACCAATCATGCGTGAAGCCTTTCTTTCGTTTTCATAGCTGCCAATCAAACGGCACAAAATCTAGATGAGGGAATGAGGTTGTGGTTTCATTTTACATGCACATGCATTTTGTATATCAGGAAGCTTTGGACCTTTATGCGCATGCTGGTTTGTACCCTGACTTGCTTTGGTTTTATGTTGAGCATGGTTTTATGCGAGTTCATGCAATGTTCGACTTATGCACCAACCAAACACATATGAATGTTTAGTACTATTAGCAGTGCATGGGTGGTGCTAGCATTTGAGAACACATTCATGTTCAGTCTGAATATTTTTCATCAACCCATCCCTCCCTCGGGGGACATCCGGGTACCAAAGCTTTTCGTTTGTGGGCATCACTGCCCGAGACAAGCGCCTTGTGTAAGTGTCCCCACACCAACTCAAGTAGATGCCAACCTGATGTGATAGTCCCTTTTGTGTGCAAAGAGAGAAGCCAAACATTGTGTTCACGCGACATATGAATACAATTACTCTGCCTTGTGTGGTTGTTCGTGTGTACTCAGTCATGTTCACATGTGTTGTGAGTGCTGGGCTGCAGTTTCAGATATGTTCCCAATTTCTGTGAATTTCGAGTGTCATGTTCTTAGCTGTCTGCACACCTCTTGTGAAATTTTATGTGGGATCCGACATTTTTGTAAATCCAACTTGGCATGATTGATTTCACAACACACCCGCAAAAATTTTGTGGGAACCAATAGACACACCAAGGTTGTACTTCTCAAGTTCACGCTTCAACCAGTTTCACATTGGCAACCCTATTGGCCGCGACCACTTAGGCCTGCTGAAGAACTTTTAAACCCTCTTGCCAGGACCACAGATCTGAAATGTCCTCAAGACACCTTATGCCTCAAACATGGCCGCTTAGCAGCCCAAGCCCGTTGAGCTTGGTTTTCATTTTTTTGAGGCAACGTCCAATAGGGAAGACAAAGCAAAACGATAACCATGATGCAACGAGCCGTGTTGCTTGAAAGGTGTCACGCATGAGAGCTGCGGAAATGCTGGAAAAACGATAGGGGGGACTCCATTAGCCAGGTAAGGAATTTTTGCCCGTAGCTATTCTGGCATAGGAACCTCTTTGATTGGGGGGCAAAGCGGACAAACCAGAGAGCTTGAGACCTGCCAGCCTTCAATCCCCTTGAACAGCTACATGCAAAGCATCCCAAATAAAACCAAATGCGCGCGTTTGCAGCTTCATGTGGTAGGCTTGTACTGGAGCTGTTTTTGTTGCAAAAAGTCTGTGCACATGGTCGCAGGGAAATACGTTGGTCGACTGATTTGCTTTGAAAATTTGGCAAGTTGCCGGCGCGAATGCATGTCATCGTTTGATACCGCAATTCATTGCACTGATGAATGCATGGTTTTTTCTGCATGTGATTGGAGAGAGAGGAAGCCTGTGACAAACTAGCATTCCGATTCAACGCGAGTTGTGCATGCACCGCCCCTTTCACATTGTTTTTCTTGCGAGCTCCAAGCAGAATTCGAAATCTGTTTCCGTCCTCTTTCACTTCGAATGAACTGCGTGCATGCAACATGTTGCCAAGCGTTGTGTGGCGTGGTTTGCTGATGCGTTTTCACGTAACCCGTGCTGGTGACGTCTTGCAGGAATATGATGTTTGGGACAACTTTCTTGTGATCCACGAGCAAATCAACATATCAGTTTTTCCTATGCCACATCAGTGCATCCGAGGATGATTTGTTCTGCGACATACAGCGGTCAGTCACGATTAGTGTTTTCGTTTTCGGTGCCACAGGACTGGCCGCATTGACATGTCGTATCTTTGTTTGAGTTTGCCATGAGTTGGCCCAAATGGTAGTGACTTGATGTTTTCGGGACATGCCATCCTTTCCCGAAGCGGAGGCGCACGTGCAAGCATAGATAACCAAATCGAGGTGGGTGTGCAACATTGCGTTGTAGGACCAAGAGCGCGCGCTTTTGGTGGAGGGTGAGGCTGATCCGGCTTCCAGATTGGCAGCAAGGCGATTAGTTTTCAGTCTTGCATCATTAATCAGTTAGTGCTCACATTTTGCCTGTCAGGAGTTGCCGAAGACATTTGACATGGTTGGCCATCAGCCTTGCGGCGTTTGCGGTGATTTGGTACAAATGGGTTTCATTAGACATTTCGCGCCCGTGCCATTTCGGTTCCGCGACCAACTATCAGTCCACTTCAGGCAAGTGTGATTGTACTCGGCAATGCCTCTGCCGTGTTGGGAAGACAGGACGGATCTAGCTACTGGAGCATGAAGCTAGACGACAGACGTGTGATGGTTTGATTCAGTTCGCAGGATGTTTCCCGAGCTGGGGCTGCCCTGACACGATTGGTGCGCAGAAAGTGGCAGTGCAAAATCTTGACATTATTTACGCGTGTTGATCCAAAGAAGCACTAAGCCAAAGTGTCAAATATGCCAACTGCCAGGTAAGACCGACAGCCTTCGTGATAGACGAGCCCCTTCCAGTCACCTGCCAGCACGATCTTGTCAGTTGATATGTTCTTTCTGTCAAGTGTGCATGAAATTCGGGATATTCCTGCCACGTCCTGTTTGACATGTCTTGCCTGTCAGGCTCTTCGTGATGCGGGGAAGGCACATTGGCTGACATTGGCTCAGGTTATCTCAGATGCCAATTTCCCTGCAGTGCAGTAGATTTTCTCAATCAAAATGTGTTTTTTGCCGTGTTTTTAGACCTTGCAACTTGCACTTGTTTTGGGACCAGCGAGGGATTCAAAAGTTAGGTTCTGAACCTTCGACAGTTGCAAATGCAATGATGACAAGGCGTCGTAACAGTACAGCAGCACACGAAGGGTGCAAGGATCGGAGCACGCAATGCGTGGTGCCACTCTTGAGTTACTCAGGCCTTGAAAACTTTGTGAAGAGCTTCCATGTCTTAACGACTTGCACAGTCTTCTCAATGCTGCAGTGCTGTCATTGCAGCATTTAGCGCCGGAGGGTTGACAGTCACACTGGCTAGACCCTTTCTGCGCATCTTTTTTGGGATGGCTCAGGTCGAAGTATGCATGTAGAGTTCCAGGATGTTGAGGGTTAAGAGTTCATGGAGTTAAAAGAATTCATCATTGAAGATGATTGGATGTTACATAAATATATGTTATATATATATATACATATATATATATATATATTTTTTTTTTCGGGCTGAGGTTTCTGAAGCTTCAGAGCATTTTCGGAGTTTTTGGTTTTGAGTGTTGAGTGGGCCATTAGGTCTCAAGTTAGTGTTGCCAAAGCCATCCACAACCCATGATATGTTGCGATTCTTCAGGGGAGGGTTCTGTTGTTTCGCGCTTCATGGATTTGGTTTCCTTCAAGCTAAAAGCTTGAAGGATGTGAGGGGCTTCGATTTTTGCGTTCACGCTAAAGGTTGTTGCGCTATTCAAGCCAGCCGTTTCATTGTTCAGTGCTCAGAGGGCTCAGGAGTATGTGCCGTTGCTGTGTTTATTTATGTGTGGGGTTTGCTTCTTTTCAGAATTTCTGGTTTGTGCAGGTATGTGCTTTCGCGGTCTGCAGTTGCTAGGTTTTTTTCGATTTCGGCCGTTGGTTGTCGAGTTCTTGGGTTTGCAGGCTACAGAACATCAGGCGCTTGGGAGTTTTGAGTAATTTTTGAGGCCTTCAAAGTTTTTGGATCGTCCCTGATGCATGACACATAACATAACCCAAAACTTTTGGGCAGATCAAAGACGGCTTTAGCTGGAGAAGTGGGTACAGCCGCTCTTCAGCATAGGACCGGAGTGACGGGTGGTTTGCGCTGGGGTAGGTCGGCTTACGGCCTGCGCACATCCCGAACCCTAAGCTAAGGACTACAACACTGCGCTACCCGTTTATATGTGTGGAAGGCGGTTTAAAAACAAATGGGATCAACAAACAAAAATGAAGATCAAAAAGCAAATGAGGATCAACAGAACAACAAATAAGGATCAACAAAAAACATAATATTGGATTTAGTAGTAAACCTCAATAGTTCTGGCCTCCCGAGCAGGGATCAAACAAATATTTGAGCCCTGAGCCGAAGGAGGACGGAAAGAAAGAAGGAAGGAAAGAAGGAAAGAGAGACAGAAAGAAAGA